CGCACGCCCGGCGAGACCCCCCGACTCGTCCCATCGCTGGAGCAGACACCCCGGCCCCCCGCCCCCCCCTGGGACCCTTCCCCGGGGCCAGGGACCCCCGGGGAGACAGGGTCCCCTCCCCGGGACGCGGGCACCGGCACCCCTGGGGACCCGCCAGCCGTCCCCGCGGGGGCGAAGGACGCCTGGAGCCCCCCCACCCACGTCGGGGGCGAAGGCCCCGGACCCCCCCCTGCCCGTATTCCCCTCCCAGGGCTGGCCCCTGGCCGCCGAGGGTCCCGCTCCCAGGGCTGGGGGGAGCCGGGCTGCCCCGTGCCCCCGGGCTGAGCCAGCCCTGAGCCGGTGGGGCGGCCGTGGGGTGGCGGGGAGCCCCGGGGGGGCCCTGGCACCCTGCTCCTCCCCAGTCCCATGGCGGCCAAGTGGTTTAAGGAGTTCCCCTCCAACCTGAAGACGGTTTCAGAGAGGGCTCGGCCGGGCAGCGGTAGCCTGGGCAAGAGCCGCAAGAATTCGGCCGCCGAGTTGGGGGGCTGCCGGCCCGGCCCGGGGGGTGGCAAGGAGGGGGGTGGGCGGCTGTCACGGGACAACCTGCAGGGTTTGCTTCAGGCCGCCACCGGGAAGATGCGGAAGAACTCACGAGTGGAGGGGGGCACGCCAGAGGGACCCCCCAAAACCTGCAGCACCTACATCAACCGCCTCATCAAGGTGGAGGCTCACGAGAAGAACGGGAAGGGGTACCCCGGCCCCCTGCCCACTGGCCTCCCTGCCCCTGAGCAGGACAAGGGGAAGACCCCCAAGACAGAGACGGTAAGAGGGGGACCGGAGAGGAGAAGGGGGCTGGGGGGGGAGGGGGGGAGCGCGTGGCACCCACAGCTTTAACCGCTTTGGGCTCCGGCTCATTAGCCCAGCTAACCCCGGCCTTTCATCGCGCCCGGCTCTGGTGCCTTCAAATCCTGTTCAAAGCTCCCTTCATCCTGATCGCCCTTCATCTGCGGGGGGGGGGAGCGCTCGCCAGGCCCCCTTGCCGCATCCCACTGTCTCTTATCCCACCCTGACCCCGGTACTTTGCCGCTGGTTAAACAAAGGCTGACGTAAAGCTTTTCTGGGAAGCCGGACTTTCACCCCCACACAGCCCCAGGGTGGCTGGGAGCCAGTCGGGGGTGGGGGGGGCGGTGTCACCCAAAAGGGTCCCCGAGTCCCCCCCCCAGGCTCCTCCCCACTGCGGGGTGCATAGGGATGGGCTCTGCCCCCACCCAAAGGTGCCACCGGGTGCACCCTCATGGGGTTGTGGCATTGCTCCATCTACCCCAGATGAGCTGCCATCCTGCCCCGGGGACTCCAGTATCCCTGTCCCCTGCCTGGTGCTGCGCCAGTGGCATCCCCACCACCCTCTCCCACTCCACCACCACCGTCACACCTGGTGGGACACCTGACGGGACTGCTGGCAGCCCCCTGAGGCTGATGGTGCCTGTCCCCTCCCTAGGTCATCATCCTGGAGGACTACGCCGACCCCTACGATGCCAAGCGTACCAAGGGGCAGCGGGATGCTGAGCGCCTGGGGGAGAATGATGGCTATATGGAGCCGTACGATGCCCAGCAGATGATCACAGGTACGTGCCATGCCACGCCACGGCAATGCGGCTAACACTGCTCCCCAGCCGGGAGTGAACGGCTGTCCCCGGAGCCGCATGGCGAGGGAGGCTCCGGGAACAGGAAAGCCGCTCGCCGCTTCCTGCGGCTGCGCAGGGCCAGATAAGAAGTGGGCGCGAGGCCGGACGCTGACCCGTGCCCGCCTGCCCCTTGCCCGGTGCCGTGACCTGCTGCCATCACCCAATGGGTGCATGGGGCTCATGCAAAGCCCTCAATGCTCTCCAGCTGTCCTGGAGGATACACACAGCACCCCTGAGGGTCCCACGCAGCCGTGCCCCCCAGCCAGCGATCCCCCGGCCGGCGCGGCAGCCGCCCAGCTGGCCAGAACAACAGGAACTGACTTGGCCGGAAGCTGGAAATAAAAGATTTGCTGCTGATGGTTTTTTTCCGTGCGGGGCAGCCCAGGCTGTTTGGTGGAGCCTGGCGCCATGGGGCGAAGCAGGGGGCTGGGAGGGGTGTGAGCCCCTTGGGGTGGCCTCCCGCAGGGCCAAGCTTCAGTGCAGGGTGTAGCATCCTGCCGCTGCAGACCCTGGCCGGCCCCACCAGCATGTTTCTGTGCCCACGGCACCGGCAGCTTCGGGGCTGCAACAGCAGGCCAGGCGCCATGAGGATGGGCCCCTTCCTGCTCCGGCTCCTCCCAAGCCTGTTCCCAATGGGGTGTCCCCGGCATGGGGTCCCTGGTGCACATCCCTACCCAAGCACCAGAGTTGGGAAGGGGTATCTCAGGGGGACACAGCCCCCTCCCTGACCCACCATCCCTCTTCCCTGCAGAAATCCGCCGTCGGGGCTCCAAGGACCCCCTGGTCAAAGCCATCCTGCTGCTGGACAGTCCTGGCGAGCCTGGGGAGGGGGGTGGCAAGCCAGAGCCAGCCAAGTGGCCGGCAGGCAAGGAGGCAACGGGGAAGGGGCCACAGCTCTACGACACCCCTTATGAGCCCGGGGAGGGGGTGGCCGGGGGGACCCCAGAGCGCAGGGCAAGGGCCGGGGACGGGCGCCTGCCCGAGAATGATGAGCGCCCGGCGGGCGAGTACGAGCAGCCCTGGGAGTGGAAGAAGGAGCAGATCGTCAAAGCACTGTCAGGTAGGGGATGGGGACGGGGATGGGGACAGACTTTTTAGTAGGGCCTGTAGTGCTAGGACTAAGGGTTTTAAACTAAAAGAGGGAAGATTTAGATTAGATATAAGGAAGAAATTTTTTATGCTGTGGGTGATGAGGCACTGGCACAGAGTGCCCAGAGAGGTGGTCGATGCCCCATTGCTGGAGACATTTGAGGTCCAGTTGGATGGGGCTCTGAGCAACCTGATTGAGTGGGAGATGTCCCTGCTCACGGCAGGGAGGGTTGGACTAGATGGAGATGGGGACATAGATGGAATGAGGCTGGGGAAGGGGGTGGGCCTAGGGCTGGGGATGGTGCTGGGGAGAGTCAGAGCTAGGGATGGGGATGGAGGTAGCATGGAGGGGGCTTATATCTCATTCCCTCCTCCCCCAGTCCAGTTCGAGGGCTCAGAGCGTCCCAAGGAGGAGGTGCCATGGCAGCACCTACGCCAGAAGAGCTGGACCCCGAAGATGCTGAAGCCGGCGGGTGCTGAACATGGTGACGGGGAGCGGGTGGACCCTGCCCTGGCACTGGAGAAGCAGCCGTGAGTTACAAGGCCAAGCCACATGCGGCAGCTGGGGTGGGAAAAGGCGGGGGGGAAGTGGGTTGAGGGGGGCGTGACTGGTGCTTTGCCACCACTTAGCGTCCCCTTGGCGTCCCCCCACAGCTGGTACCATGGGGCCATCACGCGGGCCGAGGCAGAGAGCCGGCTGCAGGCGTGCCGGGAGGCCGGCTACCTGGTGCGCACCAGCGAGACTGGCAGCGGCAAGTACTCCATCGCACTCAAGTGAGTGGCATAGCAGCTGTGGAGTGGTGGTGGGGGTCCTGGCCCCGGGGAGGGAGGGGTCCCACCCTGGAGGGATGCTGTGGCAGGAGCACCCCTCCCCGTTGTTCACACCAGAGCCCTGATGGGGTGGAAGCACCCACATCCCAGGGGATGGCACCCCCCCCCAACCAGTTGGGGGGACCCAGGCATCCTGGCGCTGTGCTGGGGCGGGGGGGGGATGGCGTGTCCCCCTCCCTGGCGCATTGTCGGGAGCGCTGGTGGCGTTTCCTTCCTGAGGAAGCGGAGCCCCTGGAGCCGAAACAATCGGAGTGGGACGGGAACAAACAGGGGTGGATGCGGCTGTGGCCGCTGGGCGGGCGGGTGGGCGCCAGGGGCTGGCGGGACCACTGACGTCCGCCGCTCGCCCAGGACCAGCCAGGGCTGCGTCCACATCATTGTGGCCCGGACCAAGGACAACAAGTACACGCTCAGCCAGGCCAGCGGCGTCTTCGCCAGCATCCCCGAGGTCGTGCACTACTACTCTACTGAGAAGCTGCCCTTCAAAGGAGCTGAGCACATGGCCCTGCTGCACCCCGTCCACTGCAAGCTGCATTAGCACTCACTAATGCCCCCCCCCCCCGAGTGGCCTGTGACCCCTGGCCCCGGGGCATGGGGCAGGGTCCAGCCCTGGCAATTGCCACAGGAAGGGTCCAGTGGAGGACCCCTCAGTCACATCTCCAGCCCTGCAGGGACCCCACTCCTGCCTGGTGGCCACTGCCTGCCACTGGACTCCGGCAGGGCTGAGCTGCCCTTTTGCTGGGACGGATTCTGCCCACCCTGCGCCGGAGCCAACCCGCTGCAGGGCTGCCTCCAGCACTGGGGGCAGGGGGACGCAGCAAGATTGGGATGTGTAATGAAGTAGTAAAATAAACTTGTTGGCTGAGAGGAGGCAGGTGGTCCTGGGAGGTGGGCTGGGGGCTGCAATGGGGGAAGGGATGGGGCAGGACTGGGGCTGGGGGCTGCAATGGGGGAAGGGATGGGGCAGGATTGGGGCTGGGGACTGCAGTGGGGAAGGGATGGGGGAGGATTGGGGCTGGTGGCTGCAATGGGGAAGGGATGGTGTTGGGGTCTGCAGAGGTGCAGGGATTGGGGCCCTGAGGGTGCCAGGACAGGCAGGTGCCCAGGATGTGGGTGCTGTGGAGCGTGCAGCAAGACACCCAGCCACTTCCCCGCCTGGGACCTGGCTGCCAGGCTCTGCTCTGCTGGCAGCGAGGCCGTGGTGCTGCCTGAAACCAGGGCAGGTTTTTGGGGCTGGGGGCCCATCCGGTCTGACCTCGGGATGCAGCCCCTCGCCTCCCCCCCCTGCCTCCCCAGGGGTCACCTGCCTGCTTGGGAGAGCGGAAGCAGGTAACTCAACCCCAGACTGATGCTGGCAGAAGCCACCCTGCTTTTGGGGGGCAGGGATACTGGGGCTGCCCCAACCCACACATCTGCATCCTGCCGGGCTTTTTATAGAGTGGGGCCGGCTGGGGCGGGGGGGAATGTGGCGTCCCCAGGGTGCCTGGGCACCCGCTCCCCTTGCCCTGCGGTTTCCTGCCTGGGTGCAGCTGCAGCTCCCCAGGGCGTTGCATAACCTGGCACGGGCTGGGTTGCTGCTCGGAGCAGGGCCTGGGGAACGCTCATTGGCATGGGGTCACAGCCTGGGGATACATGGCATTGGGGGGGAGCACAGCATGGGCTGCACAGCCTGGGAGGCACTTAGTGGCATGGGGGGCACGGCTTGGGGTGGTACATGGCAGGGTTAAGGGGCACAGTAAGGCATATGGTGCATGGACTGGGGTGCATGGCCTTGACTGGAGGGGGTGCACAGCCCAGCCTGACCCCACCACCCCCTGGAGTCACTCCCAGGTGAGGGAGACTGCAGTGACCCCTTCATTATTCCCCCCCCCAAAAGCACCCACTCCATTACAAATCCAAGGCATTTATTTAAGAGTCACGTTTTGCCACATTTCCCCAACACGTGCTTTAAAAATAAGCCCTGGGGTGGGGCCGGGGCAGAGGGATGGGGCTGATCCAGCCAGGCCCTCCCCCTCCCTGACACCCGCGGCACTGCGGGGGCTAGGCCCTTCCCTGCGGGACCCCCAAACCCAGCCCCACGGGCAGAGCCCAGCCCTGCTCCCACGCTCCTATGCGGCCATGCTTCCAGTGCCTTCACCCCCAGCCACCCCAGCTTGGCCACGGCCCCGGAGCTGCCCCCTCGGGACCCATCTTGGGGACCTCCCCTGGCTGGTTCTCCACGGGGGCAACGCTGATTCCCCTCCTCAGAGGCTGCTCCCAGCCCTGAGACCTGGGGGTGGCTTTCGGCACCCCCAGATGTGGGGGGGGGCTGGGCTGTTCCCGGGGCCACATCCCAGCCCCGGGACCCCCGCCCAACCCGCAGGCACTTGCCAGTGCATCCAGCCCCCGGCTACTGCTCTGAGAAGAAATAGTCCAAATTGGTGACATGGAGAGCCCCAGGGGCCAGGGGGCCAGGAGGCGAGAGCAGGGGGGTCTCACTGAGTGGGGGGCTGGGGGGGCCCAGGGGCACTAGCACATGCTGCGCCTCACCTTCCTGCTTGGCCCCCCGCTGCCCACCTGTCCGCCATGTCTGCTTGTACCTGCAGGAGAGGAAAGTGGTCCCAGGTCGAGGGGGGGCAGGTAGAGAAGTCATCCCCCCCTTCCCTTCCTCTAGGCACTCACCTCACCATGATGCCAACAAAGAGGGCGATGCCCAGGAGCAGGCTCCCCCCGGCCACCAGAAAGGCATAGGGGGATGCCACAGAGTGGGCACTGGCTTCCATGACAGCCCCTGCAGCAGAGAGAGGGGATGGGCTCCTTGTGGGGATGAGGGTCCCGTGGGTTCCGGCCCTCGGCAGCCAACCCATAGACCCCTCCTCACCACCAGCGCCATCAGCAGCATCTTCCCCGAAGAGCTCGGGGGGCAGCGTGACCCCATAGGTGCCATCCTCCATGGGGAACTGCAAGAGAAGGCAGGAAGGCGCGATGGGATGGTGCAGCCCCCCCACCCGGCATCCCCTTGTCCCACACGGGGTCATGACATCCAACCAGGAATGCGTTGTGTCCCCTCGGGGCTGAGGCCGTGCCCTACCTGCGAGCTGAAGGGTCCCATTTCAGAGGTGAGGTCCCTGGGGTCTGCAAGGGGAGGGAGGAGTGTGAGGCTGGGGGACCCTGGCCTGAGCCCCTGGCCTTAGGGCCACATGTCCCCCTCCTACCTGTCCAGGGGGTGCCCACCGCCTCCTGGCTCCACTCGCTCCACGCGCCGTGGCCAAACTCCTCCTGCGCCCGCACCTGCACCACGTGCCGCGTCCCTCGCCAGGCGTCACGGATGTCCAGCCACGTCGTCATCACCTGTTCCACCTGGGGGGGGGCATGGGCAGCACGGGGGTGGGGAAAGCCTCGATGGGGCTGGGGCAGAGTCCCACAGTGGGGGGAGGTGTATGTGTATCTCACCTCCGTGAAGGTCTCGGCGGGCTCGGGGCGGTAGCGGACCTGGAAGCGGAGCCAGTAGAAGCGGGGGTCCCAGGACAAGGGGTAGGACCAGTTGACGCGCAACTGCTGCGGTGCCTTCTCCAGTGCCTCCACTGTCACATTGAGGGGAGGGTCGGGCTTCACTGCTGGGGAACGGGGGGCTCAGGGCCGGGCACCATGCCGCTCAGCCGGCCCCAGCCCCTGGCAAGATGGGAGTGGTACTCACAGACGCTGCTGAGGGTGATGATCCTGTCCTCACCGGCCAAGCCGCCGGCGCCGTTACTGACGCACGTGGACACCACGAGGGGTTTGGTGTCATCAGCGCCGGGTGGCACCTTCACCCGGCAAACAAACTTCCGTGCCTTGGAGAAGTAGCGGCACCGCTGCTCTGTGGCATTCTCAGCTGCGAACCTGTGGGGATGTGGCTTGGCTGGAGCTGTGGCATACACCAGGCACAGGGCAGTCCTGGCCAACATCAGGGAAAGGGTCTGTGGGGAGGGACAGTAAAGTCCCCTGCATCCCATGCCATGGGGTCCCAGGCACAGGTAGGTGCTAGGATGGCACTCACCTCTGCTTCACCCAGAGCATCGCCCGCGTCCCTGGGGATGGCTTCGCCTGCAGCGGCCACTCGCACAGGACATCTTTGTCATGGCTCCGCCGGTAGCAGGAGACCCGGGGAATTTCAGGGGGCTCTGCAAGGCAGGGAGGCGCTGGGGGACAGGGGATGCCGGACTGGGCGACGCTGCGAGGGAAGCCCCTGCCCCAGCGCGGACCCACCTTCCACCAGCAGCCGCAGGGAGCGCAGCGGGCGGCCCCCCACGTAACAGCTGTAGCGCCCCGAGTCCTCGTAGCGCAGTTGCCAGAGGAGCAGTGTGTTGCCCTCCGCCAGCCACCGGTCATGGCCCCCCACCACCGCTGCCACCGTCCCCCACTTCTCCATCTTCCAGGACACGGTGACGTTCGCCAGCCCCTCGTCCTGGCAGGTCAACGTGACGTTTGCTCCCAGGCGGCCCAGCACCGTGTCCTGCGAGAGCCCTGGGGGGCCAAGAGAGGGTCAGGCGATAGAGATGAGACCCCAAGCCCCGCGGGTGTCCCCAGAGAAGGGGGACGCCCCACCGTCTGCTCCCCATTCCCAGCGGCTGCTCGGTGTCAATATTTGCTGGAGGCACCGAGCCGGAGCGAGTGGCAGCTCCTGCTGAGCCAGCACTTCCCCACCGAGCCGGGCATCGGCCACCTGGCACACGGACCCCCCCGGCACCACCACAGGGACAGCCTCCGCAGCACCCGGCCGGGGTGCGCGTGGGGGGTCCGGTGGTGGGACCCGGCTGGGCAGCGTGGGGAGCAGAGAGGTGGGAGCGGGTGTCTGGGCGAACAGCAGGCTGGGGGTCCCCGGGGGTGCTGGGGGTCCGGCGCTGGAGGAGTTAAGCGGCCGGGCAGCACTCAGCCAAGGCCTGGGCTGGGGCCAGGGAGGCCGCCCGGGGCAGCTCTCCGGGCTCTGGCTGCAAAGGTCAACAGTCAGTGCGGACCTGCCTGTTCCCGTCGGCTCCTGCTGCCGGGAACGCACCCAGCACCCACCCAGCACCGAGTAGCACCCAACATCCAGTACCCAGCCAGCCTCAGCACCCACCCAGCACCCACCCGGGGTGCCCCGTAGCCGCACCCTGCCCGTCTGCCCGGGGCCCGGCCGAGCTCCGTCGGCGCTGGCAGGGAACCGCCCCCCCCCCGTAACCTGGACCCGCGGGGCCCCGGTAC